TCTGAGCAAGACCTGAACTCTAGTGCCCAACAGCAGCAGTGCCAGCTGGCAGGGAGGGCAGAGGCTAAGGCATGCCAAGAACTTGGTCTGTTGCAGCCACAGGCAAGTACTTTTGGGATAGAGGGCGGGGCCAACAGTAGCAGTGCTCCCACTCCCATCATCCCCCGTGCTTGCTGCCTCCTGTAGATAAAAAAATGAAGACATCCCCCAAATAAGGCCTAGTTCTTATATTCGAGCCCAAAAGAAAATAAGACCAGATCTTATTTTTGGAGAAACACGGTAGTAATTAAATGTTTAATTAAATTTTTATTTCAAAATATACACTATATAGAACTCTTAGTAATGTTTAATACAGTAAAATTCTAGTGTTATGCAAATTGATTCCAATTTTAAAATTAAAACTTAAAATTTAATCATACTTCCAAGATTGTAAAACCTCTCTACAGTATGAAAGATAGCATATTGCGTAGATTTTCTGATATTTAGTCATATGTCCCCACTTTCATATAGAAGTTAGCTTTGATCTGACTAATTCAGTTTGGTTTAAAAGGGAACATCGAAATCAAAACTCCTCAATCTCTTAAAACCAAGCTTACAAAGGAATGAAAAGGAGGAGAGAGAATTAGCTATATTTTAGTTTAGACCCAAGTTACTATCTACCTTTGAAGATACAAAATTTGTATTTCTCACTAACATGCTGTGAAGAAAACATAAATGATTTGCAAGTTAAAAACTATTTTGCTGAATTATGGCATATACATTTGGTCAACAATGTATTTAAGATGGAATGGATCTTCATTTACCATTAACTGATGTAGGCCACATTCATCCACTTATTTGCAAAAATCCCTTCCTCTCCAAGAGTCAGAAGGAAATCAGACTACTCTAAATCTTTGCTGTTCTACACTGCACTCTTACAGAATGGATTGATGCTGTATTTTTATAACAAGCAATATATTAAGGGCTGTGAGGGCTGTTATTTGAAATTCCTAGTCTCTATATATTGTTTTTCATTTCAATTATTGAATGCTTTAATATTCCTTATAACATGCCAGCACAATTCAGACTAGAAAAGGCTACAAAAAGAAAAGGCACCAATCAGTTATTTAGCAACTAGTAGCACAGCAGCAACAATGAATTGGCAGTGTCAAAGCCTGAGGATGCTCCATAATATATCTTTTGAGGTAGAGGAGGCTGGTCCTTCCCGATGATAGCAATGTTTGGACAAGTGAATCTGCTGAGTTTTCAAAAACTGGCAGACTGCACAAGGCTGTTTGTCCATAGTTTATACCCATAGCTTGGGTGTTTAAGCACTAGATATCAAAGAGATAGAATGTTTTGTTTATCCTTGGCTGCCATTTGGTAGTGATCCAGTTCTTTGCAATCAATGCACATCTGCTGAATAAAGCTTTGTTGAAGAATAAAAAAGGTAAAGGTTTCCCTTGCATATATTAGTTTCTGGCTCTAAGGGGTGGTGCTCATCTCCATTACAAAGCCGAAAAGCCAACACTGTCCAAAAACATCTCCGTGGTCATGTGGCCGAAAGTGACTAAATGCCAAAGGTGCAAGGAACACTGTTACTTTCCCACCAAAGTAGTCCCTATTTTTCTACTTGCATTTTTACATGCTTTCAAACTGCTAGATTGGCAGAAGCTGGGACAAGTAACAGGAGCTCACTCTGTTATACAACTCTAGGGATTCGAAACACTGAACTGCCGACCTTTCAACAAGCCCAGCCACTGAGCCACCATGTCTTTTTGTTGAAGAATCAAGTTTGCCAAAAGGTTTGAGAAATCATGAGGAGCCAAGCTTTTCTTGGGAGCAATAGCCATTTTCAAAGAGAATGAGACATTAGTAAAAAAGACAAGTACAATTACAATTACAATATCCCCAACTTGCTCTTAATCTCTACCCAAGCTGACTTGACCTTGATTGAGGTATTTTAGTTGTTCTAAGTATTTTGGGGGGGATTTCCTCCTCAAGGGGAAGAGCAGGCAATTACACTGAATTCTGAAACTTAGCCTCTTGTTATATATGGACAGTTTCACAGGTGGCATGCCTCCTCTCGCAGTCATCAATAGCCTTGCTTTCCTGCATAATTTGTTCGGGGATATGTGTGAAGAAAAATTAGTATATTGTTTTAGTCTACAGTACCATGAATCTTGAGAACTAGAGTCATATAGAAGCAATGCTGAATGAGATAAATTTTGGTCTGATCCAATGCATTGTGAATACATTTATATTTAATGGCTGCTTTTGGAGGGAGGCCATAAAACAGTAATAATCGTGTACCATTATCATACTTTATACATTGAAGCCCATTTTTATTCTGCCTTAACAGCAACAGTCCTGAGTGCGAGACAAACTTGGACAAGCAAGACTGAGCAATTCTCCACTTTGATCCATAAGTCGCCCCCCATACCAGCCTATTTTCTAACAAAATGGATTCCCATTGCCCCTAACCTCGGCCCTGGCCCCACGAGCCTAGAAAGCTGACAAACTGGCTCCCACGCGCCCGAGAGAAAACCCAAGATGGCCTAGCTGGGATATAGCGACGCCCTCTACCGAAGGGAAGTTACCAACGCCCATAGGAAGTACTCACGATAAAGTTTCCTCCTCGTCTCCAATTCTCTTCCATCCTAGTTCCTGGCCAACTCGAGCCCATAACTCTCCCAGTTCTCCCTGATCGGTCTAGGCTCCTTACCTTGTTTGCCGCCTTAGCAGTGCCAGTGGCCGCGTTAGCATTAGAGGCGGCCCCATGGGCGCCTTCTGCTTGCCGGCTTCCCCCAGTCACACCCGCGACAGGGGCATTGGAAGAGGCAGCCGAGGAAGGCGCGGCAGTGGCACTTCCTCGGCTGCTTTTCTCTTTCCGTTTCTTTTTGTCTCGCTTCGCGAAAAAGTCGTCTAAGCTCCTCTCCTCGGTTTCTGCCATGGCGATGGCGGCGGTAGCTCCTCCTCACGCTCCGGTTCAAACCGGATATGACTGACGGGACTGACCAGTCGCGTCTCCTTAAGGACAGTCAGCGATCCCCAAAACCTCAATGGTTGAGGGGAGAGGAGAAAGGGCAGTGAGAATTCGGCGCGCTCAGCACCCTCGCGTGCTCTTTACGTTCGACTGGGTGCCCGCCGCTTCCGTTCTCTTGTGGGTAGCAGAGGTCCAGGCTTAAACTGCCGCCGCGCGCGCGCTTTCACTCCCGTTCCTGCCTCAACGCAATTCGTTCGAAGAGGAGCAGAACAGCTTCCGCTCCCCACGTTGGTGGCCACACTTGCCACAGCCGAAACAGAAGGCTGAGAAGAAGAAAGGGAGGGGCACTGTCAGAGCTTTTCTAATGTAATATTCGAAGAGCCACTTTATTGGATATTGGAACGGGAAGGAGGGAAAGCGCATGCACTTGTCCCTCCGTCCACCAACCCGCTGAAAGAAACGAAGAGTCTTGGAGCCAATTAAAAGGCCTGGAGAGAGGGGCGGTTACTGACGTGCCCTTAGTAGTGAGTGCCGGCAGCATGAACGTTAGGAATTCCTGCGGGTGAATTAACTAGTGCGCATGCATGGGGACAGTAGAATTTTGAGAAGTGATTCGTTAGCGTAAAGTGGGCGGAGCTTGGCGCGGGCATGCGCTATGAGGCGGGAGAGGAGTCTGCAATTTGACTTTATTTCTAGTGACTTCTCTGAAGCATGGACGAAGGTAGACTGCAGAGGTCGCGGAAATGTTGCTTATTGCTATCAAAGGGTTCTTTTTAATTATCTTCTTAACTTCAGTTTGGAGCGCCTGTAGTCAGCCTTCTAGTTGTTTTTCTCGTGCTTTTTGTATCCTAAAGTTCCCTTTAGAATTATCAGCAAAATAGATTTAAAAGGTTTTGCTCCAAGTCATTACCAGTTTTAAAGTCGCTACATCCTGCCATGATGTAGACGCAAGGCTTACTTCCATACATTGATTAAAGTATACTACGTTAAATGCAACTTCAGTTGCGTTGAATATTTTGTGTGTACAAGGATCTCTCGTTTTAAACCTTGTTTATTATTCCCAAAAGTGTTTTTTCCTTATTGTTTACATTGTAGGAAGTTAGCACCCACCCCTCTCCTAGAAAAATGAAATATCCTGGGAAATATTAAAAAGGCAGAATATTTCCTATAAAAAGAGTAAAGTAGAAACTCAGAGAAGCAGAAACTCAGCCCCCCCCACTTTGCTAATGGGCCATTAAGGCCTAGGCCAGAGTATTCTACATAATAAAGGGTCTACCCATCTCACCACCTGGCCTGGGAAGATTGTATTGCCAACACTCAGGTGAAGCCATGTGGTCCAGATAAAGCCTACAAAGTTAGCTAAGACCCCACCCCACCCCTGGGAGTCTGACAGCCAGTGGGATATATTTCTTACACAGGAACAGGAAACACTAAGGTGGGCCTCAACAGAGGTTATATAAGGGTTTCTCAGCATCTTGATCCTCCCTTTTTGACCTTCCCTTCTCACCTTGAAGTATGTGATCATCCTTTCTTTTTCACTTTGGATTTCCAAGCCATGTAGTCCTGCTGTCCACCATTAAACCATCTTTCCAAATAGCCTCCATGTTTCTAGTGTCTTTTTCCCCACTTGGAACTGAACCCAGAAGGATATTTCTTTCAACAATTGGCACCCCAGATGGGACTCCAAGCTAACCTAACCAATGGACCAAGCCCAGGTAAGATTCCCTTGCCAGCAAACAGACCCATTGAGTCTCTGGGTGAGTTTTTCCTGGACCTTGGCCATTTGGAAAAAAAGGTTTTAAGGGGGTTTTGAGTGTTGAGCTCAAAGGCTGCTTGGAAAGAAGGTGAGTACCTCTAAATTTTAATTTTAAAGCATGGGAAAACATGGGAAATGTGTGTATGCCTGTGTGTGAATGAGAAAGAGATCTTTCTTCCTCTGTGTGTTCTACCAGGAGAGCTAGTATCAATTATATTACTGTTTATAACAATAATACTCATGCTATTTGTTTAACCAAGGTAATGTATCTTATATAACTAATCTTTTCATATGTTTCCCTTTTTTTCCCTGTTTTTGTCCGCTAGCCATTGATGAGTCCCAAGGGGAAAAAAATCAGTTTCTTCCTTTTCCTTAATTGTAAATATTAGCTTAGTTTAATCACATCTTCATCGGTTGGGATTTCTTCACTTTTCCATTGTTGTGCAAGTACTATTCTCCCTGCAGTCAATACATGTAAATACATTCCCTTTGTTAAACTGTTTGGTAGTATGCCCAACAAAAATGTATCTGGTTTCAAATCTATATGTTGTTTTATCATTTTCCCCTCAAGCCATGTATGTATTTCTGTCTAATATTTTTTTCCACTTTTTGACATGTCCACGATAGTATGAACCAGGTATCTGATATTTCCAACATTCTGCAGATTTACTCTTAAACATCTTTGCTAACCTTGAAGGTGGAAAATGCTATCTATAAAACATTTTATAAAGATTTTCTTTGTATGCAGTAGACATTGTTAATTTATCATTTCTATCCCATAAATTCTGCCATTGATCTAACTCAATCGAATAGCCAAAATTTTTAGAATCTTGCAACATTTTCAAGTTTATCCTTGCTTTTTTTTCCCTTGCTAAATCCAGTTTTATTGGTATTGCTTGGAATAAATATAGTAATCTTGGCAGGGTATTCAATTTTATGGTCGCTACTCTTTCCATCAATGATAGTTGTAGATTTTTCCACTTAACCAAATTTGTTTTAATTGGTTGCACCAATTTATAATAACTTGACTATCTGTATACCTATTTTTCTAGTTCTTTTTCTAGAAGTCTGTAAACAATTATTTTGATTTTTTTCTTTATTTATTTTCAGTCCTGCAACTTCACCATACTCTTCTATTTTCTTAATTAGTTTGAGTCCATTTTCTTGTGGGTCTTCCAAAATAAAGAGCAAATCTACAAATCCCTATAATTTATATTGTTCCCTTTTTATTTCCATTGCTTTGATTTCTATCTCTTGTCAAATATTTCTATTTAGCAATTCTAATATCAATATGAATAGTAAAGGAGATAGTGGACATCCTTTCCTTGTACCTTTTTATATCCATTTTCTACCATCTTTGCCATTTGTTTATGGCAAATTGCCTTTGAAGTTAAAATTATTTTCATATTGTTTTAATCTGTCTCTTAGGCAAAAAAGCCATTTTAATCTGAATATATCAATTCATTTAGAAATTTTTTACACTCTCTGCCTTTATTGAAGCTTATATCTTATAATCAGTGTTCAATAAAGATATGAGCCTGTAGTTTTTTATTTGCATTAAGTCTGAATCTTCTTTTGGAATCAAAGTAATATTTGCTTTCATCCACGAATTTGGTGCCCTTGCATCAATCAATATTTCATTATGGACTTCCAACATTGATGGGCCTAAAGTATCTTGTAAACATTTGTAAAATTCTGCCTGCAGCCCATCTGGCCCTGGTGTTTTATTATTCTTTTGTCTCTTGATCACTTCTGATCATTGATATTCATTCATTTAACATAGTTTTTACTTTTTCTGGTACTTCAGATAATTCCATTTTTTTCCAAATATTGTTTAATTTTCTCTTCTGAAACTTTTCTTGGTCATACAGCTTTTCACAACAATCTTGAATTATTTTTATCGTCATTTTGATAGTATAAAGTTCCTTTCTCATCTCCTGGCTTATTTGCATTTTCAAAAAAAAATGTTATGTTTAACATTTTCAGAGCATAGGATCTTTTTGTTAGAGAAGGAGAAAGTGTGTGTGTGTGAGTGAGTGGCTTCACCCGTGAACAGCAGCTGGATCTCATTTCTTTGTTTGGCCTCTAGCTGCCCTCTTGCCTGTTGCTAGCTCTAGAGAGCCATGATCATCAGGACAGGAAAAGCAAGGGAGGGCCATCGGAGTGTGTTGAGGTAATTCTCCATTAGGAGATTGAGCGCATATAGGGAGATGTATTTGAGAGAAGTGTTTGAATAATACACAGAACACATATACACTGTGCAGTAAATGTAGGGTTTTACTTCCAGAAACGTTAAGCAAAGTCCAAAATAGGCAGTCCAAAGTCATTCACAAGTAAATCAGCCAGTTTTTGATCCAGGGATAATCCAGTAACAAAGTCCAGTGTCAAAAACAGTTCAGTATCAGGCTTACATCAAATCCATGAATACCAGTCAATTATGAGGAACAGCAATATTCTCCAACAGAAGGAAACAGAGACTGACTCACACTCTCTTCTGAGACTAAGACAACCCAGGTTTCTGGCTCCATCTTATGGCCGTTTGAGAAACCACACCTAATTATACTTTTGCATTTTCTTAAAGATACAGTTTTAAAATGTTTATCCTGGTTTCTATATTTCTAACCCAAATACCTGTATCCCAGAGTATCCCAAAAGTAAACCCCAGGATTTTAGGTAATTGTGAATTTAGGTAATTAAGAAGTTGTGAAGTAAGAGGAGCGCCAGTACTTGCCTGCAAAGAGCAGCAAGTCCTCCCGGATTCGAACTCTTCCAAATCCGAAAACCTAGGCCTGATGAAGGAGCGCCAGTACTTGTTGGTGGGGACAGCAAGTCCTCCCGGATTGTCTTTTTTGGGGATGGTAAGGTTTGACAGATCGTCGTTTTGCCCTCAATCCAAAAACCATGGTCTGAGAGTTCCCTCTGAGGGGAGTCCCAGACACCTTTTTCTGTCTGCAAACTGATAGCCTGTTGAACCAACTAAGCCAAAGTGTGAGAACCGCACATCAGAAGGGGAAACATGGGAAGTGGTAGTTCAAGGGTCTTGAGTGGAACCTCCCTGGGAGAGTTGTTGGAGGCTTGGGATGAGCAGCAGATGCTGACCCTAGCTGGGATGAAAAGAAAAAAAAAAGCAAAATGTGTATATAGAGCAGGGGTGGGCAAACTACGGCCCGGGGGCCACATCCGGCCCGTTGGTCTTTTTAATCCGGCCCACCGAAGATTGGTACAGAATTAAGGTTTGATGTGAATGATTGAATGATTGCATTCATTTGATTCTGACTTGTAATGACAGGCATTTCGACACCAGGTGGCGGCCTGTCTGTCAAATTTTAAAAGTCAATGAGGCCCCCGAGCCAAAAAGCTTGCCCACCCCTGATATAGAGAATGGGCTTTACTGAGGGATGCAGGAAAACCAATACCTAAATAAAGGTATTTTAAAAAAAAGAAACAAATGAAACAAAAGGGCAATATATAAACAGGATCACATGGGATTTCTTTCTTTCTGTGTCTCTTTGTCTTCTATGCAACCATGTGGCTTGTTCCTTAAAATTTGTGCCTTCCCCAATTTAACAGATTTATTGTGGGAATGATCAGTGTGTATGTAAATCTCAGTTTTGTTTTCCTGTCTGTCCTTGTTTGTGTGTGTGCGTGTGTGTGTGTCCTTGAGGTAATTGTTGCAACTGTTAAGTGTCTCTGATCCCTTCAGATATGAATTTTAAATTGTTAAGAATTAAAAACACTTGAGAGAAATTGTCTTTTCTCAGTCTGGTCTCGCCAACTAGACTGGATGAGGAACAGAGTTCAATTTTCTTTCCTCTCTATGCTTTTAAGAAAAACCCAAGGTTATTAGTGAATGTTTTAAGTTCATTTACAAGAAAAGTTTCATCCCTGCATTTACTGTGTGTTTAAATGATTTTACCTGTTCATCCTTTTCATGAAGCATGTGAATCCAGTTTTTTTTCCTTTCTCATCTGTTTTGTCCCCATTTTGTTGAAACTGATTTGTTTACTAACTGCATTGTGTTATTTTTCTTCCTCCTCAAACCATGCCTGCAAGCTATCTATCACCACCACCAAAAATTTCTAATCCTTTTACAATGCCTTTCCTGGTAGAATGACCAGCGAAGGGGGGAGGGGACCCTTGTTCTTTGTCTTTCAGCCCTGCCACATGTGGAAGCAGATGCTGCTCCCTAGAGACATTCCATCCATTGGAGCCAAAGAATTGGGTTTGGATCCAGCCTCCACTGAAAGTCATTACAGCAAACCAGAGTGGGGCAGACCTTCCCAAGCCTGACTGACCACCCATACCACTAGGCCAAGCCTCTGCCACCCAGAGATATGAAAGAAAGGACCCTGAGATGGATGCTAAAAGTCTTTTGTTCAATCCCCAGAAGACAGTTAGAAACATTATGGGGGGAGGGTGGAAGTCCATTGTAATGTGAAATCCGTTGTAATGTTTTCTTTCTTGTATCATTTATATTGTAACCAGTTTGATGTACTCATGTAAGGATTGTATTTCAGAGTGGCTGGCCCAGCAAGCTCTGAACACCGTGTACTTCTGTGATGGGAGGGAAAATGTTTGTATTATCTGTATTGTAAAACTAGCTGCATACACAGGCACATACACAGAGACACCTTTCAGAATTAGACAGAAGCTGCTCCTAGCTTCCTTTTTTTAAAAAAAAAGTGTGTTTTGTTGGTTTTTTTGTTGTTGTTTTGCTGCTCTGTGGCACTAAGGCCCAAGCAGTCATATTGCCTTGCTAATCCCAAGGTGGAGGGGGCATCCCCCTCAGGCAATTCCTGAAGAGATAGCAGAAAAGAGATCTCCAAGCCCTAACTGACTCACAGATGACACTGCGCAGTAAAGCAAGATATGTTGCACTGGTGGTCTCATGAGTAGAAGTCCCAGGGCTCCTTGTGTGTAATTTTAAATACTAAATAGCCTGGATTGTACACTGGCTAACCTCAATTTGGCCTCACAAACCCTGGAAGCTAAGAGCTAGGCAGGTAGTAACCATAACCTTGGAAATGGGCAGTCTGTAATTTAAAGGCTGTGGAGAATGTAGGGGCTTGTGCTTGCAACCTGACTGTAAGCTCACAAAAAAAAGTACATCAAACATCTGAAAATTAATTGGCATGAAAAATTGGATACAGCAAAAAAAAAAAAAATCCAAAATTTTTCCCAGGCTGCTAGACCTTTATGGTTTGGAAGCCACTGAAGGAATCCTTTTCTGTTGCCTCTTTTTCAGTGCCTTTTCCTTTACATCAGAAAAATTAAAAGCACCCATCATCTCCCTGATCTTCCGGTTTGGGCTTCTTCGGCAATGGGCCGAAATTGCAATTGTCCGCGGTTTTGATCTGTGCTCACCGGTGGAGTGCCGCAAGCTGCCCAGATTTGGGGCTAAAGCCACCCCGTAGAGGTGGTGAAGAAGGGGGAACCATCAACGGAGTTGAGAGCTGCATCTCTCCTCCTTGGCTGACCATTATTCCCTTTCCCAAAGGTGGTTGCAACGGTGGTCAGAAATGGCCACCTCAAAGAAGAACCCGACCGGACAAGACTGTGCAGGAGGAAGTTTAAAGGAGAAAGTTTGACTGACCGGGTTGAATGGATAACATCTATTTAAGGTACCTGGAACCTGAATTTTAAAGACTAACACTATTCCTAAAAAAGATTTTAAGCTGTGAAAGAAGGAAAGGAAACGGAATTGGCTTTTTTTCCTCTAACATTGACAGTTTTAACTGGCTTGGAACATTAAGAAGAGATTTGAATAAGAAATTGATATTAATCCACTTTGACATTAATAGGCTATTTCTAGCTGAAAATAAAGTGTCAAAGGGATAAAGATTCTTGGATAATTTAAAAACTTTCTTTAAAAAAAGAAAACAGCAGAGGGCAAAAGGGAAAAAGAGTGGAATCTGGAAAATGGAGACCACCTGAACTTTAAAAAATCGATAGTGGAATTTTATCAAGGCTTGCAAAAGATACATTGTAGCTGAGACTTTGTTACAAGATAACAAAGCCCCTGGAAAGAGAAAGTGAGAAAAGAAGCAAGAAACAGTTTTGGATTATTGGATGATTCCTGGAATTTTGGATGGTGGGTCCTAATGAAACAAAATAAAATCAATTGGGGGTTGCTTAAAAATTTTTAAAATGGCATTACTCCTTGAAGAGTTAAAAATGAGACTTAAAGAACAAAAAGAAGAAGCACAAGAGGGAAGAGGATCTTTTGGCTTCATATTTCAATTTTTAGAAATGGAGATCTTGAACTATGAAAAACAAGAAACGCTGGCAGAACAAGAAGGGCAGGACAACAAAGAAGTCATCTTTAATGACCAAGCCATTTTAAGCGGGGTAAAAAAAGGGAAAGGAGGGAAAGGGAGTTAAAAACTTAAGCACTGAAGCAACAACCCAAAAAAGGTAATTTGAAAAGTAATCATAATATCAGGAAGAAGCAGAAGGGAGGATCACAGAAGGGAGAATCAGATAGGGAATAAAAGGGGGAGGGAGAAGAGAGGGAAGAGGGAAAGGAAAAGAAGCTACAAAGACAGAAACAAGATATAGAGGTACAGCAAACATACAAGAATTAAAAGACAGAGACAATGGTTAAAATTTCACTTGAGAGGATTCTGCAAGGGTGCATGGGATAGCATTGTGATATTAGAAATAGAAAAGGTTTAGAAAATATGTTAGATGATTTAAAGTGATAGAAAAATTTCTATTGACGTGTAGTGGAATATTTGTAAAGAATGATTTAAAAAACATTTTTAAAAAATGAAAAGAAACGTGGAAGATTTTTATCAGTTGACAAGATGAACTTGAATAAGAATAATAACTTTATTGACTTGTTAATAACTTGTTTTTTTTATTTAAAGACAGTAATAAGTAAAATATGAAATATAGATGATTAAAGTGAAAGACAAGCTGATATTACTAGGTAATGTTTGTTAAAAGAAATAGAAATGTAAAAGATTGTTATTAATATTAATGGCAGAGCTGTATTTGAATAGAATAATTATTCCATTTACTATTGTTATACATATATACACAGATATATATACATACATACTTTTTTCTTTTAAGAATTCAGTGTGTATTTTTAAGGGAACGTATCAAGCAGAATTCGATTGAAAATAGGTATGTGTTATAAAATAGAGGTTAGAAAATGAATGTTATAACTGTAAAGATGTAACTTACATTTTTAAATAAGATTTGAAAAAAGATACAAAGGTGTCACACTCCAGTCTAGTAATTACAGGGGAAAATTTGTTTTATGAGAAAAGATAATATGAAATTGTAAACAGCAGGCATCCCCAACCACCGGGCCCTGGACCGGTACCAGTCCATGGATCATTTTGTACTGGGCCGCAAAGAAAATAAAAATAAAATAAAAATGGCGGCTTTCTTCACCTTTGGTGAATGCTGCTGGGATCAGGGATCAAGAACACAAAGGAAAGAAGGGGAGGGAGGAAGCAACTGTCCTGCTCTCTGGCTCAGTGGTTTCAGTTTCCTCCCGCCTCATTCCTCTCTCAGTTGCGCGCTCGCTCCTCCACCAGCCCAGGAAGAAACTGCTTCAAAGAAGCCGGCAGGGTGGCTTTTCCTGTCGGCGCAGCTCCTCCGAAGCACCTGTTCACCCGCACACAGCCACCCGCGGTTCAATCCAGTGCTCCGTTCTGCCTGCCTGCCTTGGTTTCTGGTTGTTTCGGAGCAGCTTCGGCTGAGAAAAAGAGGCGAATATTTATTAAAGGGAGAGAGACACCTGAGGGATGAGGCTGAGGAAGGCAGGGCTTCTCAGCTGTCCTGCAGGGACTTGTCCTGAGCCGCAGAAACAGCTGCGGGCCGCCGCCACCCAGCGCTCAGTTTTGAAGGCGCTCCTCAGCCAGGTGCAGTTCCTAAATCTGCAGCTGAAACCCTCCGTTTTAAATGTCTCAATAGAAGAGAATATCTGTCGCTCAGGGTTGCAATGAGGAAGCCTTGGCGCTCTCTGAACTTGGTGGTTTGCTGGCGGATGTTTTATTACCCGACTAGGTAACAACATCAGATGTTACCTAGTCAGGTAATGAAACGTCTGCAAGCAAACCACCAAACTCTGACTCCACCCCCCCACCTGGTCCTTGAAAAAGTGTTTCTGAGTGAAACTGGTCCCTGGTACAAAAAAGGTTGGGGACCACTGGTAAACAGGACAGACGAAAGTATAAAAACACTGATTAGAAAGATTTTAAAAATTAGAAAAAAGATATGTAATTGAATTAAGAAAGGAATGAGATAATTTAAAATAAGGCTATAGGAAGTAAAGGGAAAAGCTATTGAAAAAATTTGCAAAAATAGTTATAAGATATGGATTAGAATGTATAAGATAAATATGTATTGAGTTAATGTCTATATGGAGAAGTGAGCACCCGGGGCCACGCTGTTCTCAAAAAAAGATATGTTATTTGTATGTTTTGTGAAAACTTAAATAAACCTTTTATTAAAAAGAAAAATTAAAAGCACCCATCGCCTCCCTGATCTGATCACCTTTTAATCTTTTGTCAAAACACTCATGTGTTTCGGGGGGGCGGGAGGGGTTGTAGGAAGTTAGCACCCACCCCTCTCCTAGAAAAATGAAATATCCTGGGAAATATTAAAAGGGCAGAATATTTCCCATAAAAAGAGTAAAGTAGAAACTCAGAGAAGCAGAAACTCAGCACCCCCCCTTTGCTAATGGGCCATTAAGGCCTAGGCCAGAGTATTCTACATAATAAAGGGTCTACCCATCTCACCACCTGGCCTGGGAAGATTGTATTGCCAACACTCAGGTGAAGCCATGTGGTCCAGATAAAGCCTACAAAGTTAGCTAAGACCCCCCACCCCTGGGAGTCTGACAGCCAATGGGATATATTTCTTACACAGGAACAGGAAACACTAAGGTGGGCCCCAACGGGTTATATAAGGGTTTCTCAGCATCTTGATCTTCCCTTTTTGACCTTTCCTTCTCACCTTGAAGTATATGATCATCCTTTTTCACTTTTTGATCTCCAAGGCATGTGGTCCTGCTGTCCACCATGAAACACTTTCCAAATAGCCTCCATGTTTCCAGTGTCCTTTTCCCCACTTGGAACTGAACCCAGAAGGATATTTCTTTCAACATGTTCATTTAAAAGCTTCTTTATTAGCTGAAGTAATATTATGAATGGAAATTGCAGCATGTATTTGAAGTAAGATCCGTGTGCTAAACCATGAAATGTATAGTATTTGTTAAAAATTTATCATTATAAAAGTCAATATATTATTTTATTATTCTTTTGACCATCACAGTCACAAAAGAAAAATGAGGGAAATAAGGAGTTGAACTACAAAACTCTATCTGTAAATGGACTTATTTAGTTTTATAACATTACAGATCTCTTTGCTTAGAATAATAAAAGGACTTCATGTCAGATTGATCAGAAATGGATCTCCCACTCCAAAAAAGAAACAGAATCTATTGTGAATATTATGGGCACTGAGTTTCATTTGAGTTCGGATTTGAAGTTCCTGATACCTGGAAGATCATATTTCACACACTTTCCTAGATCTTAGTCAACATTTTTAAAATGTTGCCTTAGTGTAGGGAATTCTTAGGTCAAATGAATTGAGATGAAATACATTTCTAATATGCTCTATTTTTAAAGAGTTGTGCAAAATATACTTTTCTTTAAGTGGAACATTCTGGAATTCTCCAGAGGATTCTTCTTGGGGAATACCACTTTTGAAACTTCACGGCTTCTCTGGAGAGGGAAGAATACTGAATTAGATTGGGATCAGGAAAGGGGAAATAATCTGAATACTCTTTTGCAAAATTACTACTTGCTCCACAGAAGAAAATCTTTAGGATGCACTGCATCCCTATTACTAATCAAAATAATTATTGTGGATATGTATGAAATTTAAATTAGAAAACTGCAATGGGGAAAGAGATAAAACCATTTTCAGTACAGTATGGTTCAATATGCCCCCTCAAACAGTTTTTAATTTTTAAAAAAGTTGTCTTTTTTGGCTAAGTTGATGGTATAAAATGCTCACTTGCTAATTTAGGGCTCTGTTGAGATCATTGTACAAGATTAAATGGAAAAGGTAGCCTAGAAAACATCCACATTCTTGGACAGTGCAATAAATAACAATTAGACAAAGGTTAGCTTAAAAATTTCTAGTGCATAGTGCATAAAGCTTGTTCTACAAAAATACAATTTTAGATACTGTTCTGCCAGTCTGATTCCTCAGTTGTTCCTTTAATTAAAACAAATAAATCCCACTGTGATCACTGGAGTACAACTTCCAAGTTACATATCTAAAATTGTAGAATTATTTTAGTTGCTTAGTATTTTTAAAAAAATTGGACAGCGGTATTTGAACCTAATTTTATTCAATTATATTTTTATGCAAAGCAGTAATTTAGGACATTTAATATAATACTTAGATTGGTAAATCAAACGAACTTTGTCATGTTTTACATGAACACTTGCCAATAAGATACTTTTCTTTGAATGGTAATACTGGTCTTCTGACAAGAAAGAGATCAGCTGAAAGTTAAATGCAAAAAATACCATGTTATTATTTCCTAAAACAGAACAAATTGTTAACATTAACAAAACCAAATTATTAATGTTAGCAACAAAATAAGAAAATTACAATACAGATACATTTTGTATATGTACAGATTTGTATAAATAATTAGCAAACTTCTCAGGTATGGGGTACCATTATTGTTCAATGACATGGATGTGAAGATAGATAGATAGATAGATAGATAGATAGATAGATAGATAGATAGATAGATAGATAGATAGATAGATAGATAGATGATAGATAGATAGATGATAGATAGATAAACGATAGATAGATTTGAAACAAAAATTCATAGGCAAATGCTTTGAAGAATTCTCTTAAATCTCATACATTTTCTATGAGAAAGATTTCTCTCTTGAAATTTCACATCTTATGCAGGACTGGTGGAAATTTACCAGATGTGGCTATCTCAGAAGGTATTTATTCAATAGAAACTAATTTTGAAAATCCACCTGAGATAATTGAGTCCCTTAGGACCCATGTGTCCTTACACTCATATAAATGATTTAGTAAGAACTATGCCTTAAATAGATTGTCACCTAATCTAAAGAATTAAGAATACTTTTATCATAGTTTTAAGGGCTGAATAAACGTTAGAATATAAATGAAGTAAGTAAATTGGACGATGCTTTTTATTTACAGAGTAGGTCCGGTAATTGCAAATGCAATATGCTACTAATTATTAAAATTATTATAATTTCCTAATTTTGGTTTTAAATGCCACCTTAAAAACGCCAGATAAGTAAAAGATATGGTTTTCGTGATAAAAGTACACAGAGAAGCACAATTACATGTTCAGTAATATATACTATATATCTGGTGCTTTCTAAAGTTATTGGAAACACTAATTAGGATTGACTGGCATTGTAGTTTGATAGTTTGACAGTTCCTGCTATTTTTTGCTCTGATCAAAGAAAGTAGTATTGTACTGTAGGCTTGACTTTGAACAAACTGAACCATTAGCTGACAATGTTTATAATCTAGAGAGGCATCAAGCTGGAGAAAGCAAATATATGAATAAAGTGTGTGCATAACTGCATTCCTATTTGGTAAGTAATATTTGGGATAGGTTCTTAATTATTATTAAACTGCTTGGAATTTCTTATGCAGAAATCCAATTCTTGGAGCAAAGAATCAAAATGGCATAGGCTACACATAATGATCTCGGTGGAAACTCAAAAACCTTAACAAGGGGATATGGCCTACAAAAGATGGCATCTGAATTTCGCTGCTGAGAACTTCTGTCACATTCCAGTTTTCCTTCTTCAATAAAGTGCAGAAAAAACGCTTATCTTAAGATCCCATCTGCTGTAGGGAGTGACTTAATTTTGAAGGAACTTCTGAAGGATGTTCTCATCCCTCCCGTAGTACAGGTGCTGATAGAAGGAACGTGTTGGGCAAACCAGGAATTCTATCATTTTCTATGAATATAACCCACACAACTAGGAATATTCTGCTTTTTTTTTTGTCTGAATCAGCTTACTCTGATTTTCCACTCTCCTTTGGCCCAGACTTGCTGCTATGTAAATTCAACACACAATTCTTACTCATGAAAAAGAATACCTGCTTTCCTTCTCTAGAAGGCAGTGATACACAGCAATGTCTGACTCAAGTTGTGTTTTAATGGACAGTAGAGTTTCATGATTTCTTTGCTGCTGCTCAGTTTCTCCTTGGATTTCTCTTACTTCTGCTTCCAGTTTGCCAATGATAGAGCCTAAATTCTGAAGCTCTATATCATGCCAATGCTTGACATCATAAAGAGAGTTTTCTAAGCCTCTTTTCTGTAAAGACAAAATATCCATGGAGTGTTCGGCATTAAATCTTGAATTTCTGTCTTTATTATTATTAAATCCATACATACTAGTTTTCAAATACAGAATCCTCCTCAGATACATACCATGTTTCTCATATAATAAGGCCGAGTCTTATTTTTTTTTGAGCCCCGAAAAAATGGATAGGCTGTCTTTTCAGGGTGACTTAATTCCCCCCCACTTGCATCTTCAGGCAGGTGGGCAGTGACAGCTTGGATGTTGACCTCGGCATTGGTGGGGCACTTCGTATCGGGGTCAATGCAGGCAGCACCATATCTGGGTGTGCAACAAAAGTACTTCCTAATGGCAAGCCCCCCCACGATTCCCCCACATTTCGCATGTTTTAATATAGGCCTTAATTTGGGGGGAGGGGCTTAATTTCATTTCATGCCTATAAAACATGCTGGGACTTCCTATTGGGGGAGGCTGTAGTGTTGGAGAAACAGGGTATTAATTTCTAGAAGAAAAAGATATTAAAAAATTATTCCTACAAAATATCCTCTATGCACAGTCTAAAGAATTCCAGTCAAAAAGATTATTTGGCCATCAAAATAAATACTAATCAAAAGCATTTAAACAGTGCCAATTTTTCTCATTAACATCAGTTTTATTTCCTTATTATCACAGTGCCTTCCAAAATTCAAGTTAAAAGTGGATAATTTAGTAATGATAGCGATAATTACTGTATTATCAGAAAGTGGGTTCCAGTTTATGATTTATAAAAACTCATGGAAAGTGTTGTTTGATAGTAAACAGTTTAGAGCTGGTCAGCTTTTTATTAAGAATGCACTAGTCTAAAAGCCCCCAAGCTTTGGGGGCCATTTGATATTTTAAGAACATGTGAACTCAAAAGAAAATGGTCATTCTAGGGGTGATGGGATCCTGTTCATAAAATGGCTGCTCTACTGCAATACATATGACCAAAAGAGACAATCAAGCATTTTAATAATGGAATGGAAAATGGTGGTGTCTAAAATATAGCCTTTTAACATAACAGCCTTAACATAACAACCTTTATATCTTAAGTCAAGGGGTACCTGCTATTTTTCATTTAATTTGAAAAGCCCTCTGGAAGAGATCAGTTTAGACTTTTAATAAGATCTGTGTATTCTTTTCCTAAACTGGCTGCTTGGGAGAAGAACAAAATCATTTTTATTTTGATCTAACTCCTAATATATACTGTTTTACAGCTTATTACTGAAAAGTGACTTTTCATCGTAGAAAGATGGTACTACGGATAATTTGAAAGAATTTGAGTTCAAAGGACAAATGGCTGAATCAACATATTGCATTAATCTAGGCTTTAGTGAATTATATTTGTTGAATAAATACTGTTTTTAATAGTATTAAGATAGAAGCCATGGTTTATAAATAGAGCATATAGGTTCACTAACATTCCAAGTCAAAGCCAAACACATTTTCACATAATGTAATATGTGAACCAGGTCAGTGATTTTTTCAGAAAGAGTTTAGTTTAGTTTAGTTTAGTTTACTTTATTGTCATTGCACCTTGTACAACGAAACAAACACCATCTTCAGTGTACATCATGACCATGACCATGAAAATAAACACAAACACACATTCTTCATCCTTCACACATTGAACCGGAAACCCTCGACACCACACCAACACTGCACTATACAGCAGAATTCAAAAGAGCTACTGCCCTGTTTTTCAGCCTATTTGTCCTTGTTTTTATTGTTCTATACCGTCTGCCAGATGGTAATTGTAGTGTATTTAAATAGAGACTTCTAGGGCGATGTTACTATTGGTTAACAGAAGCAACAATACAATTGGTTAGTAACGTTAGTATCTAATTGGCTGCCTATAGCGGTGGGAAGTTTAACTAAATGTCATTGGTTGCGAGCCGTGGAGCAGCCGCTATAAAAAGGGCTGCTGCAGTTCGACTGCAGTTGAAGTTACTGTTTATTATTAAAGAGCTGAAGTCAACTCCAGTCTGCGAGTCTCTTTACTGGCTACAGAACAGTAATAGTTCAAAAAAAGGGTTCCCAGGATGAGATGGATTTTTGAGAATGTTTTGAACTTTCTTAAGGTAGCGAGAGCTATAAGCTCTTCCAAAGAGGGGAGAGGGCAACCAATGATCTTCTGGGCAATGACAGTAACCCTCTGGAGTGCTTTCCTATCTGCCACTGTGCAATTGGCAAACCATACAGAGGTGCAGTATGTTAAAATGCTCTCTATGGTGCAGTGGTCGCCAACAGTTTTGTTTGTTTCAGTTGTTGTTTTCTGAAAGTCTCAGGTAGTATAATCTCTGCTGGGCCCTTTTGACCAGGGCTGCAATGTGGGCACCCCAGGTCAGGTCCTCTTTTAGGGTAACACTCAGAAACTTAAATCTGGCCACTTTCTCCACTTGATCTCCATTGATAAACAAGGGCTGGATGTCTGATCTGTTCCTTCTATAATCCACTATAAGCTCCTTGGTCTTATTGATGTTGAGGACCAAGTTATTGTCTCCACAACACGAAAGCAACCGGTCCACCTCATCTCGGTAGGCAGACTCATCCCCCCCCCCCCAAGATAAGTCCCACCACTGTTGTATCATCTGCAAATTCAGCAAAAGTATTACTAGCGTGAGTGGGAATGCAGCCATGCACATAAAGAGTATAGAGTAAGGGACTAACATGCAACCCTGTGGTCTACCAGTGTTAAGAATAAGGGCTGAAAAGGTATGATTACTTAATCTGACCCTCTGTGAGCGGCCAGACAGGAAATCCATAATCCAAAGGCAGATTGAATTAGAAAGCCAGAAGTTTCAGAAAGCCAGAAGGTCCAGAAGTTTAGACACTAGTCTATGTGGAAGAATTGTGTTAAATGCAGAACTAACATCCACAAAAAGCATCCTCACATAGCCCCCCCTCTGTTTTAGATAAGTCAGAGCAGTGTGAAGAGTGATGGCTATAGCGTCCTCTGTAGATCTATTTTTTCTGTATGCAAACTGGTGTTTATCAAATGTATGCGGAAGACCAGAAATGATGTGCCAACTGATCAGCACAGTCTTTAAGTACTCGGCCAGAGATACTATCAGGACCGGCAGCCTTTCTAGGGTCCACAGCCCTCAGAATGCTCCTCACCTCCTGATCCTCCACAATGAGGTGGGGGCTACACTTGGCTGGTAGTTGTATTTTATCTGTTTCTGATGTCTCCACTTCAAAGTGAGCAAAGAAATGATTCAATTCCTCTGCCATTGAAGCATCCCCCTCAGCAGGGATGACATTGATTGGTTGATGGTTTGTAATGTGTTGAATCCCTTGCCACACCTGCCTGATATTATTGCTATAAAAATTATCCTCAATCTTCTTATAATCAGTCTTGACCTTCCAAATACCTTTCTTCACATTAACTCTGGCAACACTGTATCTTGCCCCATCACCGGACCTAAGGCCTTAGTCCTGTCATGCAAGAGGCACTGGACTTCCTTGGTCATCCAGGGTTTCTGATTGGGATAGATCCTAGTAAGTTTATCCACAGTGATAGTATCTGTGGAGTGTCTGATATAGCACAGAACAGTTGCAGTGTGCTCTCCTAGGTCAGGGTGGTAAAAGATGTCCCAATTTGTGTTCTCAAAACAATCCTGAACTCGTTGGGAAGCATGTTCTGCCCAAGATTTCACTGTCTTTATTATAGGCAGAGCCCGTCTCCTAAGAGGGATGTACACTGGTGCTAAAAGCAGTGACATATGGTCTGATTGTCCCAAATGTGGTAATTGTATAACCTTATAGCCATGTTTGATACTTTGTCCAATATGTTTGCTCCTCTAGTAGCACGCTTAACATGCTGATAGAATCTAGGGAGCACTGCTCTTAAATCAGCTTAATTAAAGTCCCCCGCTATGATATGCACAGCATCAGGACACTTATTCTGCTGATTACTAATAATATTATACAAGAATCCCAAAGCTATGGTAGTATTGGCATCAGGTGGGACATAGACTGCAGTAATCAAAACCACGCTGAATTTCCGTGGAAGATATATGGGTCTACATTTAAGAGTCATATACTCCAGATCCATGGAGTGGTGGCTGTCTACAGTCTTTGTATTAATACACCAGCTTTTGTTCACATAAAGGCTTAAACCTCCCCCTTTGATCTTGCCAGAATCTCTACTCTTGTCCTGCCGGTGAGCTATGTAGCCTTCCAGCTCAACAGCTGCATCTGGAATGAATGAATGAAGCCAAGTTTCTGTGATTAGCAAAACACAGCAGCTCTTGATTAATTCAGTCTTTGCAATCTGTAGCCTTAAATTCATCCATTTTGTTAGAGATCTTGCATTGGTAAGAAATATACTTGGAATTGAAGGCTTCATGGAAATTTACCCAGCCTAAAGAAAACCCCAGCACAGCATCCTCTCTTCCACTTCCCGTTCTTCTTTCTCCACCTCTTCCTCCTTCCTACAGGGATCCATGGCTCCCCCAGGGGCCTAGCTGCCTCCTTTGGTATGTTATGAGAATGTATAAAATCGTCCGTAATAACCTTTTCACATTTCAGTCCAATTTGTAACAAGGCTTGCCAACTATAGATGCTCCTTGCCCCACAGGATTCAATCAAAGAAAGGATCCAAAACACACACAGAATCATGTACACCATACACTGAAAGAAGGAGCGGTTAGCCACAGCATCCATGTGAGCAGCTATTTTGAAAACTGTATCAAGAAACTCTTGATCCCTTACTCACCAGTGTTTTCAGTGATTCAGTCTCTACTTGAAGGCTTTGAATTTTGCAAGCTGTTTCATGAAATTCTGCCCTTAGGGATTCAGCCAACTCTGCCTCTTGTGTTTGCATAGCAGGCACTGTTTCTGTGGATTGCTGACATAATAATGATAAACAGAAAAATATTGTTTTATTTTCCAGTCTCTTCCACATAGGTATATTAGAGAAAAATGAAAGGGAAATTATTGAGTTTTGGATCCAGCTTTTTAATTGTTAACATAAATATAATTCTTAAATAGAAACATTATCAGAAGAAAATGGAAATAAAAGTTTTTGCTAATAAGTAGTGCTTCATGTTGCTAGGAAGAAGTGCTGAGTGTGTAAACACATAATTCATTTCAGTGGCTCTATCTTGTTTTCAGGATTGTGGCTATTCTAATGAGTCACAGATAAAGACTACATTTGTCAAAATGCATTTCCATGTATTTTGAAACATCTCTTCCTAATCAAATCAGAAGCATTGGACAGTCTTAATAATGAATAGCATTACATTAAAACGCAGAAGCACACAACTTGGTTAGATCTAAATTATACTAGTCTCACTTCAATCCCAGTAAAACTGATGACACTCAAGTGATTTGACCCATAAAGTTATACTGTAAGTATGACTATTGTAGGCAGGAACTAACCCAGTAAACTGAAATTGCCTAAATTTCTTAATTTCCTTCAACAAAACTTAGCCAAATTTTTGTCATCTATCCTATTTTAGACCCATGCAAAGACCCAATTCTCTGGAGAAGGCTCTAACGTTGGAAAAGGGTGAAGGAGAGGGATGAAGTCGACCAACAGCAAGATGGATAGATTCAGTTACCCTGAGTAAGTGCACCATTGAGAGACTTGAAAGAACAAGTTAGGCATAGAGTGTTGTGGAGAAAAAACTATGTGGTTGCTAAAAATCAAAATAGTAGCACATAATCATTCTACTGATGAGCAACTCTAGAGAAACAAAAAGCTTCCCATACTCTTGACTTTCGGATTTAGCCTGATAAATGTTTTTGATTTTAGGGGGTGGAGGGGATCACCAATTCACATTTGTTTTGGGAGTTTCCATTCTTTCACTTAACACTAGTTTTTGTTCCATTTGACAATTTGAAGCTAAATCTTGATAAAATAGAGGAGCAGCAATTGCTAGAATTCTTCATCCTAACAGAGCTATAGATAATCCTAGTTGCAATTTTAAACTATCAAAGAGCATCCAAAGAGTGTAATTGGAATGTCTAGAACTTTTTCAGTTACCTATCAAGTTAGGGACATCCACAATGAGGATTATTGTAAAAGTCAAAATGGTGGCTGAAACCATGTGCTTGAAGGCTTGTTTTTTAATATGCATTGCATGACTTTTTGTTCTCTTCTACACATACGCTGGATCAAATGCAAATCCTGTGGGTGTGGTGTTTTACTATTTCCTACTGAATTCTTGCTTTTATTTATAATTTTGCTGAAGAATTCTGCATAATTCAAAAACTTATATTGTATGTTGTTTGATTATGTTTAATTGGCCTAAAAGAATTTGCATTTAATTCTTATATCTTATCTTAGCTTGTTCCATGCTTACCTTAGCATGGAGCAAGATACCAGTCTCAGCATGGTTTTGTTCAATATTTTTCTCCCATTGAATCTGGATTTTCTTCAAAATGTCATCCAAGCTAATTCCAATGGGGGTTTCTGATTCTTCCACTGATGATAAAGCAAGCTGTTTGTAAAGCATTTTGATATCCTGAAAATAAAGTTGTTACAAATAGATGACCAATTCATCTAAATATATAAAATATTCATTATAAAAAATCCTGAAGCACATATTGTAATAAAAGCCAGAGCAGTTATTATTTGATGCAACTTTGCCACTATACAGTGCATTTGCCTCTACAGTAAAGAGTTGAAAGAGAGCTGTATTTCATAGTATCTGCTAGAATTTAATAGAAACATTAAAATCTAATTGTGGCTTTAAGTGGTGACTATGAATATATTTCTCTCCAGAACAAGCCATGTTCAAAGGTGTCTTAAAATGAATGGATGGCTTGCAAAATAATTTTAACTTGTCAGTCTAATAAAACAGTTATCACAGTACTTGCTTGTAATATATTGCTTTGCAAGTTTTTATTTAAATCCAGTACATATTACGTAAGAACATAAAAAGCCCTTTTGGTACAGATTGAAAGCCCATCTAATCTACCACTATTCCCATAATGGATAGCCAGATCTCTCCTAGAACTCCAAAATGTTTGGATTCCACAGCCACTGGTATTTAGAACCATGATTGGGAAGGCTATACAACTGATAGTGAACATATGCTGTACTGCTAATAGCCATTGTTTATTTTCCATAATGTTCTGTGAAAAAACGGAACAGCCTTGAATACATGTCTGTTTGTCTCAGTTTACAACACTTAATATAATTACTAAGGAGAACCCATAAATTTCAAACATGAACACAAAAGAGAGGTTTCATAATGTCTACTTATAAAGTGTTTTTCAGTTATTGGTTCTAATGTTAATTAGACTTTCATCAGTGTTTATTATATTACAGTATTACAAAATGATAAAATGCTTATTGATTAAAATAAGCATTTATTAAAATTCTGGTATCAAAATACTCTTATCAGATATAAAGTTCTTTTCTATCTTTTGTTTAGATAGAAGTAGAATACATATCTTTTTTTTGTTTCTCAGAATTGATTTACCTCTTCATGATTCTTTGACAATAAAGCTAGTTCTTTCTTCATGTTTTCTATCTGACTCTCCAGGTCTACTTTAGTCAAATTAGCATGGTCAATTACTTTATAGAGCGAGTTAATTTCATCTTCCACTACTTTTCGAAATGGTTGCTCATTTTCATACCTGCAATATAAATGAGAATATGTCAAAATACAGTATCATAAAGTTTAGACTTCTGGCATGAAGAACTACTAGTTATTGAACTCATAGTTCCAGTTTCCTCAACTTATTTCCAGTACAATTCCTTTGTTTTTTAAATATTGAAATGCATATTTATTTTTACTTTTAAATTTAATGTTACCTGTCTTTAACATCTTCAGCACATGCTTGAATACTTTCTGTTTGCAACATGAGGCGGGCATTTTCCAGAACTGCATCTCCTACCTATTCAAAGAGTCAAATGTAAACATACATACATACATACATACATACATACATACATATATATATATATATATATATATATATCCAAAATTGTATACGGATGGAACTCTATGCTAGAATAAATTCTTACTTAAGTGGTGTTTGCATGGACATGATTTAATGTTCTCCTGACAGCAGTATAGAGTGGAAAAATGGATGAATCTTCAGAGTGAACCATTGAGAAACAATAATTTGCCGCATGGCACTATTACTATTAGAATGGTTTAAAACAGCTTTTATATGCCAAATATATTAATAGCATGTTTCCTGTACACTGTATTTTCGATGAAATGGCATTCCTCTGTTATTGTATGTGATTATTCCCCAGCGATGACTGTAGATCCCAAAATGTAAAAAAAAGAAAAAAAACTCAAATATCTCTCATAGGAGTTTGGTTCTTTTATAACAAGCATGTTGTTTGAGATCTTATCTATCAGAGCCCACCCACTCCTTCCGTTTATTTTTTGATCTTCTGAAATATGTTACATTTGTCTGTATGTTTGAAATGTGTGGTTATTTCATATGCACTATTAGCTTTTTTTGGACATGTTTATCATTGGTAAATGAGTGGATAGCCAATAACTCCCACACTTGTACGATTATGTTTCCAAAAGCTGGAAATTAGTTTTGAAAGCAGTTGTGGGAGACTTGCAAATGAGGCTTCCCTATGCTGTTAGCACTTATGCTTTGGATGATATTAAGTTTCACTGATTAGTGTGTTAGAGATAGAGAAATGTCTCTATTCCCTAAACAAAATTGTAAATTTAAAATGTGACAAGGAGGGAATATAATGAAAATCTCACTTTATTCATTACATATCGAATCATGCTGGTAAAACGGTTATATAAGTGCATAAACCTGAATAGTTCTGGCAGTATTTCTCTTAATTGTTTAATTCTACTCAACTACTTCAAAGAGAAACAAGAAACAACTTTTCATTCTTCTTTCATATTTTCTTGTGAACTACTCAGAATTGTAGAGAATCAGGTGATACATTAAATAAAGGAATAAAAACTTATAGATCCCCTATGAAAATGCTCAAACTTAATTTGAATATTACAAAACAATATAAACAATAGAATTTACTTTTATGAAGACTGAATTATATCAGGTAGGAGAAACTGTCATTTGAGCTTCATCTTAAGTAGCCTCATCAAAATCTAGGTGAAATTGGCTTTGGTTGACAAATGCTTCATTTTTTTTTTATTCTTGCCATAAAGTTTCATACTTACTTGATGATAAATGGTTGTCCAGCTCTCCCTTAGAGATCCCCATTTACTGTCACTGGAAGATTTCTTGTTCAGGTAAGCACGGATATGTCCTTCAAGTTCCTGGTTGATTTGCTCCAAAGTTTTCACCTTTTCAATATAATCCACCAAGCATCTGTTCATATTCTCATAAGATAGGCTTCGTTCTTTTTCCAAACCTTGGAATAGCGGTATGGTTGTACAAGAACTATGAAGACCTTGTAAGAAGACACTGCTTATCCCCAGAGCTCTGCGGGATATCCGTGTGCCCAGACTGCTGACACTTTCCATAGGTACAATACCTATGTAAGCAGCAGATGGTCTTAAGAGGCTTCCTCCTCTGCTAATACTAAATCTTTGGCTTATGGGCACTGACCTTTCCTCAATAGAAGTTGAGGGTTCATGTTCCGCAAAGGATGTCCTGCTTCTGGGTAAGGACATGCTGTACTTCAGGAGGTTTGCACTAAATGAATTCACTCTCCTTCCCCTGACTTTCTGATGTTGCACATATAGAAATCTGCAAAGTGCTCTCTCATAAACTTCTGGAACATTTCTCATTGTTTGGGGCTACCTATCTCAGGCATATTTGTTAGAACAATTGTTTGGACATTTCACTTGGTCAGCAATCTATTTCATGAGAAATCTGCTACAAGAGCACCATGCAGCAAAGACAATGAAGTAGAGGACCATTATAGATGGGGGTGGGGGATGGGAATCCTCTGTGCATTTAAATATTTGGCTCACTTGATTTCAGCCAGTGTAAATAGTTTTGCTAGAGTCAGGTTTTCAGTGTTAATGTGCTGTTCCCAGTTGTGTTGTGTAATTATCTGATAGGTTGCCAGGAACTGTTTGGTACTGTGAAGGCTAACAACAGTGGCCTTGAAACTGCTATGAATTGCTATGCCTATCTGATATGATACAGTTGAAATGAATGTGGATTTTAAGAACCATATTTATAGTTTGGAATAAATACAAAGAAAATTCTTTATCTAAAATACCTCTTTGGGTGTTACCCCAAGAAGCCTTTTTTAAGAAAGAAATCACAGGAAACCGTAATGGGTGGATTTATAATGAAATATTCTTTGTTCAAAGTGAACCTATTCTTAAAAGAAGAATAGAAAGTCGAACATATCACTGGTTTCCTATCTACAGTATATCACAGGAGTACACCCCCTCGCATTTTGTAAATATTTAAGCATATCTTTGCATTTGACAACACTGAAGAAATGACTCTTAGCTATAAAGTAAAGTAATGAGTATATACTTGTATAACAGTGTAAATGTGCTGTCCCCTCAAAATAATGCAACACACAGCCATTAATAAACATCTAGCAACAAAAGTGAATACACCCCTAAGTGATAATGTCCAAATGGAACCCAAAATGTCAATATTTTGTGTGGCCACCATTATTTTCCAGCTGCCTTAACCCTCTTGGGCATAGAGTTTACCAGAACTTTATAGATTGCCACTGGAGTCCTCTTCCACTCCTCCATGATGACATCACAGAGCTGGTGGATGTTAGAGACCTTGCACACCTCCAACTGCCATTTCAGATGCCCCACAGATACTAAATTGGGTTTAGGTCTGGAAACATGCTTGGCCAGTCCATCACCTTTACACACAGCTTCTGTAGCAAGGCAGTGGTTGTTTTGGATGTGTGTTTGGGGTCATTATCATGTTGGAATACTGCCCTCTGGCCCAGTCTCCAAAGGGAGGGGATCATGCTCTGCTTCAGCATGTCACAGTACATGTTGGCATTCATGGTTCCCTCAATGAACTGTAGCTCCCCAGTGCCAGCAGCATTCATGCAGCCCCAGACCATGACATTCTCACCACCATGCTTGACTGTTGGCAAGACACACTTCTCTTTGAACTCCTCACTTGGTTGCCACCACACATGCTTGACACCATCTGAACCAAATAAGTATATCTTGGTCTCATCAGACCACAGGACATAGTTCCAGAGATCTATGCCTTAGTCTGCTTGCCTGCAGCAAACCGTTTGTGGGCTTTCTTGTGCATCATGTTTAGAAGAGGCTTCCTTCTGGGATGACAACCCTACAGACCACTTTGGTGCAGCATGCAGTGTATGGTCTGAGCACTGACAAGCTGACCCCTCCAACCACTACAGCAATGCTGGCAGCACCCATACGTCTATTTCCCAAAGCCTACTCTGGATATGACGCTGAACATGGGCTCTCAACTTCTTTGGTCGACCATAGCGAGGCTTGTTCTGAGTGGAACGTGTCCTGTTAAACTGCTGTATAGTCTTGGCCAGCGTGCTGCAGCTCAGTTTCAGGGTCTTGGCAATGAATTGTAGGGCAACAATTCATCTTTTCAGATCCTCAGAGAGTTCATTGCCATGAAGTGCCATGTTAACTTCCAGTGACCAGTATGAGTGAGAGCAAATTTAACACACCTGCTCTCCATTCACACTTTTTTTTAAAATAAAGTTTTATTTGGGTTTTCACACATACAAAATACACGTAAAACATCTTTTTTTAAAATAGCAAGGTCCCGGGTTGAACTTCTTTATACAGATACAAAACTCAATTTCATGCTCCTTTTTATATTCTATTCCATATCTTACACTATTTTACATTTTCTATATAGTTTTTCCCCTCTTTTAATTTTCTCAATTTTATTTTGATTATCTCATCTCAATTCAAATCATTATATTTATACTTTTGTCTGTTCTGTTTCAATTTCATATTATCTTTTCTCATTAAACAATTTTTCTCCTGTAGTTACTAATTGGAGTATGACACCTTTATATCTTTTAATTACATCCATTCAACTATTATTTAAACTTCAATATATACCTTAAGTTTATGACCTTCAATATAATACATAATACATAACTTCCAATCAAATTCTGCTTGGTACATTCTTATAATACACACTATATTCTTTTTTTTAAAAAAAAGAAAGATTGTAAATATATGTAATTATAAACCCTCATTCCATTCCAGTTCAGTTCTATCATTAATAATCATTAAAACCTTTAACATCTTTAACACTTCTGTTCAATTAAATATCATACTTCCTTAAAAACACATATAATCTCCATAATTAATTTTCCCTTATTTCTCTTCACGTTTTATAAATCATTAAATATACCTTTTGTTACATTTATTTATTGACAAGCATTCCACTGAATTACGATAGCTATTTTATCAGACATTTTAATCATACATTGTTTCATATTTTCTAAAATTATTTCTGCTACTAATATAACCATACTATCTTATGTACCTTTGCAGAATCCCTTTTTCCATTAAGTTTTCACCCATTATCTCTAAATAGGCCCGGTTTCTCTATATTTTGCTTCTGTCTTTTATAACTTCTTTTCCTTTCTTTCTTCCCTCTCATCTTCTCCCTCCCCCTTTTACCCCCTTGTCTCTCTAGTTCTAATTCTCTCTTCTGCATTTCGTTCTTCTGTTGCTTTCTGATTTTATACTTATTTTTCACTCTATTTTGGGGGGAGTTGTTTTTCCCAATCTTAAACTTTCCATTCTCTTTCCCCGCTTTCCTTCCCCCCCCCCATCTAAGATTACTTGTTCATTAAAGGTGGCTTCTTCTTTGTCGCAATCTTGTTCTGCAGGCATTTCTTGTTTCTTATAATTCCAAATCTCCATTTCTAAAAACAAATACGAAGCCAAAAGAACCTCTCCCTTCTTGTGCATCTTCTTTGTCCCTTTTAAGTTCCATTT